AGCTATTTGAGTAGTGAATCAGCACATGGAAGATCTCTGTAACTCTGTCTTTCAAATAAATAAATATCTAAAAAGTAAAGCAGATAATAGCTTAAGTAGTTGTGTCCCTGCCACCCATCTTGGAGACTTGGGTTGAATTTTTATTTTCTGGCTCCATTATGGCTGAATTCTAGCAGGTATGGATATTTTGAGTGTGTATTAGCAGTTGGAAATCTCTGATTCCTGTCTTTCAAATAAAATGAAAATTAATTCATAAAGAAAAAGAAGAAATATGATATTGATTCTTAATCTGTGGTCTTCAGGGGTTGATGTTGTGGCACATCATTAAGCCACCATCTGCAATGCTGCCATCCCAAATGGGAGCTGGTTCTAGCCCTGGCTGCTCCACTTCTAAACAAGCTCCATGCTAATGGCCTGGGAAAGCAGTGCAGGATGGCCCAAATATTTTGGTCTTTGCATCCAAATTGGAGACCTCAAGGAAGTTCCAGGTTCCTGACTTTGGCTTGACACATACCTGTTTATTGTGGCCATTTGATGAGTGAACCAGTGGATGGAAGATATCTCTCGCTTTCTCTGTTTCTCTTTCAGCCCCTGTAATCGTGCCTTTCAATACAAATAAATCTTTTAAAAGATATCTGATCTTCTGCTAGAAGGGGAGAGTGGGTGGGACTGACAAGTGTCTTTGTGGACAGACTGTTGGAGGATGAAAGGGGCATGGTAGGACCTAGTTCTGGGTACCAGCAGCTCAACCGAGAACAAAACAAGGAAGTAAATGAAATTGATGTTTGGAAACCATCATCTGTACCTTTGGTTCTTTCCTGGTACTTCTGTCCTGTCCTCTCTGCTGACCCTGGAAAAAAATCACTTGCGGTTCACATTCTCAGGAGACTAGTGTCCCCACAGTCTCTTTCACCAAGCTAACTTGGGGTGCATTTATGACAAGGTGACAGTGGCTAACAACAGCTTAACATTGTACTGCTTCTATAAAGTAGCTAGTAATTAAAATTCATACATAAGACCCTAGGGTGGAAAGTTTGATACACTATCAAGGATGATAAAGTTGATTTTAATACAAAGATGATCAATGCCCTTGGAAAAAGCATTAGAAAGAGGAATTCACATTAGAAGATGTTAATTCTTTTCACATTGATCTTCAGATGAAATGAAAATCCACCCAAAAATCTCTGCTGCTGCATGTTTCCAGGAACTTGACAACTTTTGATTATATAATTTATGTGAAATATATCTGAAAAGTCCGTGATTACTAAACTGAGCCTCAGAATGTAGAACCAAGATGTAGCCTTTGCTCTCCAGATATAATGACACTCATTGATAGTAAAATATTATCAAATTGGCTGCAAGAACAAAAAGAAAAAAACACATAAATGAATGGAATAAAATAAAGAACTCAGAGAACTTGTACATATGGAAAACTCACACATGAGAGATGACTCATTGCTTGGTGGATGGGATTGGGAAAACTGGCTCATCACAAGGAAACAGATAAAACCCTACCTTCTACTATCTTCAAAAATAAAGACCCAGCTAGGAAAAGGAACACTATAGAATAAATACGATATAAGATAGAATGAAACATTGGTAACCTGGAGACAGTGAGAAGCTTTTTAAACAAAGCTTTGTAAAGCACAAAATTATATAATGAAAAATGTTTTGGAAGTTGAATTTCCTGCTTAAGAAAGGCCAAATGGACCAAGTCAGTAAGCAGAACATTCTGTCTGTTATGCCCAAAATGAAACACAGGGCAGTAAGTGAAATCAAAGAACACCCATAAATCAACAACAAAAATCACCAAAACCTCCTAGAAAAGTAGACAACTAATATAAGTAGTCGGCTCATAGAAGAGGGAAATTCAAGTGGTTTAAAATGTATGCAGCAGCAAAATGTAACTGAGAACAACAGCGAGATTCTATTTTAAACCTTCGGAGGCTGGTAATGTTAAAGCTGGATAGACCCAGTTGGGGCTGTAAGGCAACAGACAGAAATGGCATTCACTGAGGTGAGATAGGAGATCGGGCCTGGCTTTTGGAGAGCAATCTGGTAGTATTCAGTAAACGTTAAGAACCCATTCTTATGATTCAATGCACCTACTCTTACATAACTATTTCAAATATATTATCAAAAAATGCTATTTGAATGACTTATACCTGCATCCCATATTGGAATACCAGGGTTTGAGTTTCAGCTTTGTTCCCAACTCTTGGACGTCACTGGGCATCGTGGAGAGCTGTATTATAAGCTCTGTTTTAGGTACTACGGGTCATCCAGCAAAAGAGATGGCAAAAGTCAGCCTCCTGTTTGGGGACTCTGATTAGGGCTTCCTGGTGTCACAGCAGTCCAATCATTGCATGCATCTCAAAGTAGCCAAGGGTAGAATCTGAATGGGGCCTGGGAGCATGGTGTACTGGTTGCCCTTTACATTGAGGGATTATGAAAGACTTGGAAGGAGACAATTAAAGGGAAGGTCCATTGTGATGTGAAGTTCCTTAGCACAATGACACTTGCTTGTGTTTTCCATTTCACAAGAAATGTATAATCTCTCTGAATAGCAAATGTTTTGAGATTCCTGATAGAACTTTGTGGAAATCCGCACAGATATCGGTGGTGGATTTTCATTTTTCGGAGTTTGGTTAAGCTCACTGAAGCCTTAGCTCTTGGCTTTATTTACAGTGTCTTACCAAGGTTGGTTCACCAGGAGCCTCACATGAAGAAGAGACATATTATTGTTATGAAAGACTACTTCAGAATTTTCTGACATTTTGTTTCTTATTTGAAAATAATAATGAAGTTCATAAGTAGGACAGGACATGCCTCAGTTTTATAAGTCTCCAAACCACCTCATTTTGCATTCCCAGAGACAATGAATACGTTATTTAGGTACACAGATCTATTTATTCATTCATCCTATATAACTGTATTGATTCTTTCCCATGCACTATTCTAAGTGTGGGTGATACCAAGATGAAAGAGACAAGACATTCTTCTCCCAAAGGTGTGTGATTCAATGATATCCAACCTATCCCTGGGAACAAAATGATGTGTGTTCTCTGGATTCCAGGGGAGTCAACAAAACCCATGTCACCCACAGAATCACTTAAATCTAGCACTGATTGAATCATGCAACATTCCAGGCAACAATGGCTGTTTTTCAAGAGGTAGGAAACCACAAAGAAAGTTAATTCATGTCTTCTTGGGCTCATGAACAGTCCCAGACAAATATTTTAGTGAGTCCAGAATGTCTTCTTTGAATTTAAAAGGGAAATTACTTTATTTTTAAAATTGACAATTAAAATGGTACATGTTTAAGCTATGCAGCAATTTTGGGTATATGCATGTATTGTGGAATGCTTAAGTGGAGCTAACATGTGAATTAGGTCACATACTTTGTTTTTGAACCTGTGTTTTTAGAGATTTTCAAATGGACAACATCTATTGCTATTAACTATGGCCACCATGATCTATGACAGTTGAATTGCACTTATTCCTCCTGTCTAAATGAACTTTTGTGTCCTTTGATCAACCTTTTGCTACCATCCTGCTTGTAACCCTTGGTAACCATCATTCTATTCCTGCTAGATCCTGTGTATAAATAAGATGATGCAGCTTCATTTTTGCCTCTGACCTTCCATTTTGCATCCTTTCCCTTAGGCCACCTTCCCAAACACTCAGTGTCTTCTCTGGGACCCTCCTCTTAGGTCTGTGCCATTTCACAAAATGATCAAGATTTTATAATTCCTTTATCTCCCCTCCCAGTTGAAACACTCCTATCTTTATTAATCATGAGGAGAAAAGGCTGCTGAAATTAATTTGCACTAATTTGCATTCTTTTCCCTAGGAACAGGCACTCGCATTTTGGTTGTAGCTGCACCTACTTTCAGGTTCCACTTCCTGAGAGAGCTTCTAGCTGAATTTTTAGATTTTCTCTAGGACTCAATTTATTTCAAACCATTTAAAGTCAACATGGAACCACTAACAGATCTAAGAATCTCTTCTTCAGACATCCATTCATACAATAAAAAATTGTTAAGAAATTATTTCAAGGTATTCCTTTGAGGTTTGCATGTTGCTTAGAATTAATGCAGGTAAAATATCAAAGATGACTCATTTCATTGATGGGGTTCTTACATTAAAAGATCACCCATATGTTGAAAAGGATCATCAGATTCTTTAGTATTTGTAGTTCAAAACTTAAACTGACATTGACTATAATGCAGTTATAGGGCCTTAATACATAGTTACATGTACTAAAATTGTGTGATCACTTATCTAAAGCCCTGAAATGGAAAGAAACCAGTGATGAGATTAGCTGACCCTACTATTACTTTTAAATGTTAGGTTTGGTTTAGGATTCAGCATGAGATGTCCTCTCAGCTTATGCTCTGACGGACACACCATATGGGTCATTTTCCTTTCTGGTCACCTCGATTGAGATAAGAATCTACAAAGCTGATAGGAAAATCAGTCCATGACCAAAACGCTTACTCAGTGTTTACCGGAGATCAAAGGACATTATACTAAATCTGGAATCTACTAAAACAAAGCAACTGCTTTCTTTGAAAAAATGTATACTGTTGAGAAAATTTCTGGGATTTGTCTGTGAAAGTACCCACTGCGCCTTGCTAGTGACGTCGTAGGGAAATACGTCTCTCATTGGGAAGGTTGAGAGGTGGTGCTTTGTGGGCTCCGATGGTGGTTGTGTAGTTCTGAGAAGACAGTGCTGGAAAATAGATAATTGCTGATGTCATATTTTTCACAATAAAAAATTTTTTGGTGTCCCGGGGGGCTATAAAAGCTGTTGCTTCTACCATTCCCAGCTAAGCAGAATCGCCCCACAGGTGAGTAGCTCAGCACACTGGGTGCTGCTGCTTTCTCTGTTGTGGCACTTCTTGGCCAAGTTCGTGGCCTCATGTCCTTGCCTCTTGTCTTCTTGCTGCAGGTTCTCCTTACCTCTTTGCCTGTTGTCCGGGTTAGATCTTTCTGTAATGGCCGTCCTGCAGAAATCTATGCGCTCTTGGCTGATGGGGAATCTGGTCGCCGGGGGCCTCCTTCTCATGATCCTGATGATGCACCAAGGCACAGCCCTGCCCATCAGCTCTCACTGCAGCATCAACGAGTCTGAATTCTCATCCTATATCACCAACCGCACCTTCATATTGGCTGCGCAGGTATTCATCTCAGTCTGTATCTCTTTCTCACTCTATTGAATTGGAACTCAAGTGGTTCTTAAGGGATTCCTCAGAACACCTCTAAGATCTTTAAGAATCCATGGTTTATCTACACAGATAGGCACTTTCCTATGGGTTTTCAAAGGCTCCAGGAATTTGAATTTGAGCAGGATGCTTTCCTTCTGTTCTGGCCTTTAAGATATGTACCTTGAGTTAAACCCAGCAAGGAGCCACCCAGTGGCTATGTAACTGAGTCTATCCTTCATTCATCTGTGCACAACAAACCCATGTACACAACTGCATTCTGTCTTCAGTCTTTATGGGGCTGCTCTGGGCAGGGGGGATGGAGCATGTTTCCACTTACCTTCCATCTCTTCAGTTTCTGCATGCTTAGCTTTCTCTTCTCTTCCAGGCAAGTTTGGCAGATAACAATACAGACGTTCGTCTTATTGTGGATCATCTGTTTCACGGAGTCAATGTAAGCTCTGGTTGTAAGGGTGCCAGGACATCCATAGTACCTGGAGCATGGGGTTGAGATTTGGTGTCTGCTGGATGTCCCCTAATCAGACCCTTGCTCTTTGCATCCACCTGCAGATGACAGAGCGCTGCTATCTGATGAAGCAGGTGCTCAACTTTACCCTTGAAGAAGTGCTGTTACCACAGTCTGACAGGTCCCTGCCCTACATGAATGAGGTAGTGGGCTTCCTGAAAAACCTCAGGAACAAGCTCAGCCTGTGTGTAAGTTTCTCAGCCTGTGTCCATCCACTTGTCATGTCCATGTCTAGCTCTTCTTCCTTGGTTCTCACTGCTCCTCCTTTGGCTCCAGCAAAGTATCTCCCTGTCCTCAGCAATCATTTAGAACCATGATGGTGGTGAATGGATGTGGAAAACCAGTACAGAAAAGGCTCATTTGTTTGTTCTTGGATAGAAGGAAACTGAGGCTCTGTATGATGAGAATGGTGATAGCAGCTGTCAGGAAAAGACCTCGGTGTGGATATGGATCCACTGAGTGTCAGCTGTAGCAGCAAAAAGAGAAAATGGAAGAAAAGGGGGCAAATGGGAAAGTTTAATAGTGTTGGTGGTGGGCAAACAGTGTGTCTCTTTTAATGTCATGTGAAGTGACACAAACAGAGTAAGGTGACTCTGATCTCGGCCTTGAAAACTCTGAAACCAGGGTGACGCAGGTGGGCAGAGCAAAGGGGCCCTGGAGTTACTGAGGGAGGCCACCTTTCCACAAAGCTATTTTACCCATGGCTCTTGTACTGAGCAGGCAAATTTAATGAAGTTAACTGGTTTTTTTTCTGGACAAGATTCATATAATCCTTTCTACCCTTCCCACCAACTTAAACGACGGTAAATTTTCCTAAAGACAAACAGATGCCCCCTGAAGGACTTAGATGTCCAAGGGAATTCAAGAGTGAACAAAATCTAGGTCACTGGGGAGATGTAGGTCATTGTGGGCAGGATTACTAAGAGCTTTGATTCCAGGTGCATGCATCGTCATGCACCTCAGATGGGTGTGGAGGCTATTAACCTTTCAACAACGGTACAATGGTGACTCTTGCTTTCATTTTGTAGCATATTGAAGACGATGACCAGCACATCCAGGAGAACGTGCAACACCTGAAGGACACCGTGAAGATGGTACTATTTGTATCTATCAATATTAAGCCATACCGTGGGGAGGGATAATGCTTTTCTTTTATTTTTTCTTTCATTTGATGCTTTTAAAAACTTGAGTCTCTTCTGTCATCCAGTGAATTACTTCAACGCATATGTATTTAGATTGTCTCTCTGTCTAATCTCTCACCTATCTAGAACTCAATCTCTAAAATTTCACAAGTCATAGAATACTAGTAATGGTTGGGAAGTTGGATCATCTAGCTTCTTACCCCGTGTTCTGGGGATGGACTGTGGAAGAGCCAGGATTAGACGCAGGTGCCCTGATACCTGTCCTGCATTTGCTTGGAGAACATGTACTATGTGTTGGCTTTATGGGTTGATCTCTGGAAAGTTTCAGATCCCTACTGACTTGATGAAGGTCTTGTTCAAAAGCATGAAAGTTTATGGGGGCAAATTTATTTGAAATTATTTTTGAAGTTATTAGTTTGATGCTCTGAAACTTGGTGGATCACTGACACTTTCACTGAATTATTGTATTATAATTGCCAGCATATTTTTATTTAAAAGCAGAAGTACAGATCCCCTGATTTCCTTCACATTTTTCCAAATGGGTTTATTTTAGAGAGATGAATGTCTGAATTGGAGTGACTTTCCTCCTCTATTCCTTTCCTTTTCTTGCTGGTTTCTTCCTGGACCGTCCACAAATCTCTAGTTGGCATGTCTCTCATGAGCTGGTATACTTGTTGATGGTAAATGGTGCTGTTAGATTGGCTGTTTGTGGGAGGCTCACACTAGCCCCTGTGACTCACTGGCCAGCCAGAGGAATGATTTGCAGCAGCGAAAGTGATGCTTATATAAGCAGGTGCAAGCACACACTCAGAAACCAAGGGCTTTGAGTTGATGGACTTTTCAGTAATTAGCCTAAACTCCAGCCCTTTTTCTCTGTCTTGATTTCTTCAAAATGTATTTCTTCTTAAGGTTGATTTCTTCTTAAGGATGGTTTCATCCTTTGATAATTTATGGCTTTGTGGTTTTTCATTGACAAGTTCAGATCTTTTGCTAGGGTACTGTTTGCTAGACATGAAGGGCTGAATACCAGCAGCCCAGAGGTGGGCTTTGCCTTTCTTGTTTAAAAATCTCCCAAGGATGGCTTACTTAGCCATCTTCAGAAAATCAGAGTGTGAGAGAGACAAATCTCATGGTGATCTCTGTGGGAAGACAGGGATTCTAAATCCTTTAATGCAGTTGAGAACTCCAACTTTTGTATGTGCAGTGGGTTGCCACATGGGAAAGTGATTATGTGTTTCCCCCTTGTAGCTTGAGAAAGTGCATACAAGAGAGGGAGAACATGCAATGAGAGTTCAACAGGTGAAGAAGCTGGTCAGAGCTTACTGGAAATGGAGGATAGTGTTGGGATGACGGACTCCCTGTCACTGCAAATGTAAGCAGACAGCAGGCACAGTAGTGCAATGGAAGACACATTTTAAGGCTCATTGAGCTCTAAAATTCCTTAAAGTCTTTGGGCTATAAAAATACAATCTTTTGGCATATGACAAAGGAATGGGAAAGTGGGATAGTGGAGATCAAGAACAAAATATAGAGGACAATGATGATAAGAATTTTTCTTCTTTTTTAAAAGGAATATTTATTGAAGAGGCAGAGGATGGAAAGAGAGAGAGGGAGGGAGAGAGAGAGAGAGAGAGAGAGAGAGAGAGAGAGAGAGAGAGAGAGAGAGAGAACCTTCTATCTGATGGTTCGAAAGGTTGCAGCGGCCAGGGTTGGTACACGTTGAAACCAGGAGCCAGGAACTCCATTCTGGTCTCCTGTGTGTCAGGAGCCCGAGCACTTGGGCCACGTTCTGTTGCTTTCTCAGGTACATTAGCAAGGAGTTGGATTGGAATTGGTGTTCTGGTACAGGAATAATGGGAATTTTCCTGAAATAATCCAGATATCTACTTGGCTATATGCTATCCAGGTATAGCAGAAATGGAGGTGCTTTGATTTTGAATTTTGGATTTCTCTCTTACTGGGTTCGAAAACTTTAGCTGCACATAGTTTGGAAGAAAAAGAGAAAGAGAGCTAAGGCATGTTTCTGGCTTTGTAAAAAGCCAAAGTATTAATAGCTGTGCAGTTTAAAATCAAAGCTCTTTCAACTGAACTGTTATAAACTCTTGGTCACAGGCTGTTGTGGGCTGTGTGTAAGGGCAAGCCTTAGTGGGTGGCACTCAGGACCTGCTGAGCCCAGCGTAACTCCCACTTGCTTTCTCTGATTAGGAAGATGTGGGAAATCCTGTTATAATTCTGCTTCCCTATTAGGTATTTTCATTTCATTTTAGTTTGCAAAGAATGGTTGTGTTTGTTTATGTTTTACCCTTTGATATTTTAATATCTGTATGTGTTTTTGAATCAATCAGCCTAATTAACACATCCATTAACAGCTTCATTAGTGCGAGATATAAATAAGATTGATACCCTCTCAGCTCACATAGCCACAATTTGAGGTTTTCGCTAAATCATACAAGGTTGTTGCTAAAAGGATGCTTTATCAATCCTTTGCAGTATATCAAACTTGGCTTCTGCCTCCAGCAATTTAATCGTACCATTTGCCTCCAACTTACTTCTCTTCAGAAAATCCAGTGCAAATACTTTGGTGTTCTTATTTTTGCAGCTTGGAGAGAATGGAGAGATCAAAGTCATTGGAGAACTGAATTTGCTGTTACTGTTCCTGAGAACTGCCTGTGTCTGAGCGAGCAAAGCTGGCAGAGGAATGATCACTCAACTTCCTGCCTGTTAAAAATCCCAATAAGATTCCTAGAGGGAATGTTTTTGTTTTATTTTGTTTACCAAAAGGAAAATGGGAAAACCTCATGGGGGGGGATTTCTGACAAATCTTTGCCTACTTGATACAGAAAACCATGCCACTTTTGTCCAGAAGACCAAAAGTAAATTCCCCAGCAAAAAGTGCTTTATCAATAACATGTACTTGAGACCAGTGTTTCACACACAGAAAAATACTTATTTTTAAAAGAATTGTCTATTTTCACCAAAAGGTTACTTCTTATTCCTTTAGGAAGAAAATCTCGAATAACTTCATGTTTCTATAATCAATACTTTATATTTATAAATGTATTTATTATTATAAATATGCATTTTATTTATATGGGTTTATTTATAGAAACAATATTTCATATTGCCACTCAAGTAAAAGACTGATGTTAATATTTATGACAATAATTAATGAAACTATGACATGATCCTAATAAACTTATGATATCCTCGGTCTTGTGGTTTGTGATTTTTCTCCTTTAATATTGTTGCCATTGTCATCATCATCATGTGATCTTTTTTTTTTTTAAGATTTATTTTATTTTTATTGGAAAGGCAGATATACAGAGAGGAGAGACAGAGAGGAAGATCCTCCGTCCAATGATTCACTCCCCAAGTGAGCGCAACGGCCGATGCTATGCCAATCCGAAGCCAGGAGCCTCTTCCGGGTCTCCCAGGCCACAAGCGAGGAGCTGGACGGGAAGAGGGGCCGCCGGGATTAGAACCGGTGCCCATATGGGATCCGGGTGCGCAAGGCGAGGACCTTAACCGCTGCGCCACCGCGCCGGGCCCATCATGTGATCATTTGTGTAATTTTATTCTTGATTCTAAGCAAAAGAAGGTAGCTTTCATTATTATCACCATTTTAAAAATGTAAAAAATGGAAGCAGGGATATGTTAAGAGACATTTTATAACTCACGTCTATCTGATTTCAGGACTTCCTGCCACATTGCCTGGGTTTATCTTAATTCAGCATGTAATTCTAAAGGAGATAATATAGGAGATCAAAAAGGCTCCATCTATGTTATTAGCAGTTATGGATAAAAGAAAAAAATGATGTTGCTGGGGAGAACTACATGTAACTCTTCTTGTTTTAGAGGAACTGCTGTAGTCCTGTTTCAAAGCTATTAGGGAGGGTAGTCTCCAGTTTTCCTGTAAATAAGGCAAGAAAAATAACAAGGCAGCTGTGTTTTGGAAGTCTTCCTTACCAATGGGGTCCAGCACTGATGAAGAAGTCACGGGAGATAGGCAAATATCATGAGAGAGAGAAAGAAAGAGGCATATATATATATATATATATACGTGTATATATATATGTATATATATATCTGTATGGTGGTATTGAGAAGAGCGAGCAGAGCAGAGAAAAAGATTGGATTAGGCCTTCCTAGAAGAAAAGAGCAAGGATGCCAGCATGGAGCTGTTTCTTGGGAGAAGGGCTTCAAGAGATTGCACGGATATTTCGGTAGAAGGTCAGAGTATGGTCAGAAGGTCAGAGTATGGTCAGAAGTTAGGGGTTAGCACTCTGAAAAGTTTCCTTCTGAAACAATCTGAAGGCATAGGTTTGTTCTACACATTACCCACAGTTGCTTGCCAAATTCCTACATGTTTGGTCTTACCTGGTGTTGAGAAATCAGTACTTATGTGAACTGTATGTTCATGTGGGGAGTTAGTGTTTCCACGTTTGAGCTCCAAATGCTGGAAAGTGTCAATGTTAAGCTTCTGGAATGAAGCCAGCACCATGGTATTGCAAGTTAATCTTCCACCTGTGACACCAGGATCCCATATGGACACTGACTTCAGTCCCGGCTGCTCCACTTCTGATCCAGGTTCCTGTTTATGGCCTGGGAAAGCAGGGGAGGATGGCCCAACGTCACAGATTAGGTGAATGATGTTGTAGAAGAGGTACTGACGAGATGATGGTTGTCACTGGAGAAAGTGCCAAAGACTGATAGAGCTCATCTGTGAAGGATGAAAAGGACTTTTTCGGTCCAAGTGTATCCTCTGTGAAGCGGTAGCTTTGTCTTTCCATTATCAACCTAAGTATCACAGTTTGTTCCATTTTCAGGAATCTCATGGACTGATTTGTACCTCTCTGTTGGCTTTTGCCACGTGGCAATTTAATTACTTGCTGTTGGGTCAGTCGAAGGCTTTCCAAGGACAGAAACTGTTCATATCTGTGCTTTGGTGTGTGAAAATGCTGGGCACATTGTAGAAGATTGTTAAATGCTGGGAGGGAGGTAGATGTCCCTGTTTATCTCACCCCAACATGGACCCAACCCAGGGCAGATGTCTCATATCCTTTTCGGCCCCAAATTGCTCACGTGGACTGATGTTGTGGTGCAGAGTGTTAAGCCATTGCACGGGCCACTGGCACTCCATAGTGTAGCACTGGATTGAGTCCTAGATATCCACTTCTGATTCGGCTCCCTGATAATGCACCTTGGAAAGCAGTGAATGATGGTTCAAGAACTTGCTTCCTTGCCACTCACATTGGTGATCTAGAAAAAATTCCTGGCACTTGGTTTCAGCCTCACCCAGGCTTGGCTGATGTATGTATTTGACAAGTGATTCAGTAGATGAAATCGCTCTCCTACTGCTGCTCTGCTTTAGAAATAAACTGCTTGATTTTAAAGTACTGCTTATGTGCTTATGACAATTATTGGTTTAAATTAGGGAGGGAGAAACTTTATAGGAAAGTGAAGAAGAGCATATATTTTTGACTTTGGGGGACACCCATGGCCTTTGTTGTATATGTCTCCTTCTCTTCTTTGTTTTCCTCAATCCTTTCTAAGTGTAAAAAACCCTTTTTGCTCAAGGACTTATAAAACCAGGCTCTGCACCATATTTTAGTTGTAGCTTTCTGACTTGCAGCTTAAATCACTCACAGTTCATTTTTGGTGATGTGGAAACATAATGTCCATGTGTTGTATGTATGTGTGTGTGGTGTGTGCGTCTATATTCATTTACTGAGCACCTATTAGGTGCCACCCAATATTCTATGCACTGACCAAGACAGAGAAAGAGGCACTAGTTATGAGGAATGAACCTATGTTGCTATTACCTGTACTTTGATGATCATGATTTTTCATTCTTACAACTGTAAAAAGTAAATCTCTGTGTCATCATATGAGAATCCTCCATCCCCCCACCATCTGGCCAGAGCTGAGCTGATCCGAAGGAACCAGGAGCCTGGAGCTTCCTTGGGGTCTCCCATGTGGGTGCAGGGTCCCAAGGCTTTGGGATGTCCTCGACTGCTTCCACAGGACACAAGCAGGGAGCTGGGTGGGAAGCAGGGCTGCTGGGATTAGAACCGATGCCCATATGGGATCCCAGTGCGTTCAAGGCCGAGGACTTTAGCTTTTAGGCTATAGTGCCACGCCTCCATAGTGGGTTTCTATTCACTCGGGAACCCAGGCTTTCCCACTTTCTCCCACGAATTTAGGCTCTATGAGGTAAATGGCGGTATTCCACATTTTTCAGTGCAAAGGATATGGCCTGGCACCTAATAGGTTCTTAATAAAAAGCAAATAAATCAGCATATACGTATTTGTGCTTTAAAATAATAAATGCATTGATTCACAGGAAGATCCCTGGAAGTTATTAGCCGTGAAGCAAGTTTGCAGGAAGAAAAGGAGATTTCCTAGTGTTGATTTTCACTACCAGAGAGCAATCGTGCCTTTGTCAGACAGAAATACTGACGTGTTGAACTGCAGGAAGGGCAACAGCTGATATGTGGGAAGACAGAATAAAACTGAGCGGTGAGCATTAGCCAAGGTGACACTTTGCTTGAGGTTCTGTCTCACCCAATGCTCAGCTTTTTTGACCAATGCACTGTCCGATTTCTGGAAATGCAGAGGCCAAACAGAAAGCAATGATAAAGACAGAGGAAGACAGCCTGCTGTGGACTTGATAGATCTCTTTTTGCAAAATTATAAGCTAAAGAATTACTTGTGTCTGCCTGACCAGCTCAGAAATGACCAGAGAATATTCTAGAAAGGCCCTCCCAAAGCAAGGTTTCTTGCCTTTCTGTCTAGTACACCTGCATTTCTCCATTCCTTTCCTTTGGAACCCTGACTTGCCTTGGGTCCGTTCCCATCTCACAGCACTTTGTGGGATAAGCCCCTGGGTGAATATCTGGAGATTCAACAATGTTCACTGAGCACATATCTCATACCAGTCAGTGTGTAGGACTGGGTAGCAGCAAGGAAGAAGCAGAGCAAAATTCCTGCCCTGATAGAGCTTTGATTGTAGCAAAGATGGAGAAACAGTAAAAGAAGTACCTAAATAAAGGATATCATATAACAGGTAATAATAACGGCTTTGGGAAAAATAAAACAAAAATACAGAGAGAGGTTGTAACATATGGCTGTACCAAAATACCTGAGGCTGGATATTCTACAAAAAAGGAGGTTTATTTAGCTCACAGTTATACAGGCTCAAAGTCCAAGGTTGGGCAGCCCCATCTGTCCAGCTTCCGGTGAGGCGTTTGTCACAACAGTGAGAAAAAAGACTTGGAAATAGCCACCTGCTCAAAGGGTTATGCGGATTGGGTGGCCTCATTTTACGACAGCCTGCTCTCTGAATGATGAGTAATTCATTCCTACTGATCCTCCTCAAGGGGAAGCCCCCATGACCTAATGACCTTCCCTTAACCCCTATCTCCTTAAAGGTTCCACCATCTCAACATCACCTCATTGGGGTCCACGCTTCCAGCACATGCATGAACCCTGGGCTGCATATTCAAACCAGACCCAGCGCTCGTTGAGAAGTGAGAGTAGGGTGCATTCTAATTAGGGCATTGTACTTGTTTGCTGGGTTGCTATCAGCAAGTACCAGGGATGGGAAACTTCAACAGCAAAAACGTATTCTCTCACGGGTCTGGAGGCTGCAAGTCCCAAAACAAAGTGTCAGCAGGG